ACGGACACAACAACTACAACCACTACCACGGACACAACAACTACAACGACAACTACATCAACCACTACCACGGACACAACAACTACAACGACAACTACGTCAACAACTACAACTACAACTACAACCATAACAACAACCACCACAACAACTACAACCACAACGACATCGACAACAACAATGCTAGGTTAGTAATACACTAGATGATTTATAGCCCCTGAAATTGATAAATACCAGAAATAACCAAATGTAAAAGTTTTGGTTTTAGCTATCCACTGATCCTCATTTAGATGAAGACCATAAGAGAATTTTATATGAGGGCTGCAAACAGGCTGAGTTTTTGATGACTTGCTTTCATCTGCACTTACGAGAGAACAAGCTCTAACTGTGGTAAACTTGAGGGCTCATTAAAAGGCATTAATGAGACGTTATCTGTGTATTTTCGCACACGTGCTAAAAAAAACTATTTTTGTTTGCAATAGCTCTATGCAACACAACATATATGGCACAAACAACTTATGCAGCTGGCACAGGTCCGTTCGGTTTGGCAGTGGTTGATGTCAATAGCGACAGTAAACCCGATATTATTGTCACAAACGTGAATAGTAACAATGTCGGTGTTCTTCTAAACACCGGCAATGGTACGTTTGCTACACAAACAACTTACTTAACTGGCACAAAGCCAGACAGTGTAGCAGTGGTCGATATAAATAATGACAGTAAACCAGACCTTATCGTCACAAACCTTAATAGTAACTATATCAATGTTCTCCTCAACATCGGCAGTGGTACGTTTACTGCCCAAACAACTTACTCCACGGGCTCCGGTCCCTACGATGTTGAAGTGATTGATGTCAATAATGACAACAAACCTGACATTGTAGTCCTAAACTCTGGTAGTAACAATGTTGGCGTTTTTCTCAACATCGGCAACGGCACATTTGCTCCACAAACAACTTACTCAACTGGCAGCACTCCGTTCACTCTAGCAGTAGTCGATGTTAATAACGACGGCAACCCAGACATTATTGCACCAAACTCTGTTAGTAACAACGTTAGTGTTCTTCTTAACGTTGGCAATGGTACGTTTGCTCCACAAACAACTTACTTAACTGGCAGTGGTCCGTACGGAGTGGCAGTAGTTGATGTTAATAGCGACAGTAAACCAGACATTATTGTTGCAAACTCCGGCAGTAGCAACGTCGGTGTTCTTCTCAACACAGGTAGTGGCACGTTTACTGCACAAACAACGTACCCAACTGGATCTCTTCCGCTGAATGTGGTAGTGGTTGATGTTAATAACGACGGCAAACCCGACATTATTACCGGGAACTATAATAGTAACAATGTCAGCGTTCTCCTCAATACAGGTAATGGTACGTTTACTGCACAAACAATGTACGCAACTGGCACCAATCCACGAAATGTAGCCGTGGTCGATGTCAATAATGACGGCAAAATCGACATTATTGTTGCAAATCAAGGAAGTGGCAATGTCGGTGTTTTATTGGCTTGTTGAAATTAATTCACAAACTTAATTCTATTTATTCAATAACATTCTACTCGTAAATTGTATATACTACTTAATAATCAATATATTTTTCAGAAAAAGCAGATCGTCATTCTTTATTTTATAAAAATCTTTTTTCACTATTCCGCATAGCAAGATGAACGAGGAGGACAGTTTCAAACCCTCAACAGATTAGATTTCGATATTAGTTTTCTCAATTGACGATTTTCCTCATGCTTTTTATTTGTTTACGAACTTCAAATCGTTTTATTATTTTATTCAGCTTGTTTTTTTTCTGTATATGTCAATATATGCCTTCTTCTTGTGTACGACACGCCTGTACTGTAGAAAAATCAATTTAATATTTCATCTTTTCAAGTTCTGAAATATATAATCATTCGTTACAGATGGTACACATCGGCTCACATACCTCTTCTTTTTTGTCATATTTTTTGAAATATGCGAGATTGTTTTCATTCAAGTCAAGATTTGTATCGCAAATAATACATGAGAATGAAGATATATATGCATGTTAAAGAGTATACAATCTGTTTATTTCTGATTACAATCATAAAATATCTTGTCTATTTGAAAATGAACCAATAGTAAAATTCAACTCGACAATCGGAATAGATAAGGAAATATCGTGTCTTTTAGTCTTCATCGGCATAGTGACCTGTATATTTGTGATCATAGCATTTTTTCATATGACCATGATGGCCGTAGTATTTTGCCGCTGTTTTCCGACTGACGGCTTTGTCTTTCAATCTTTTTTGCATGTTTTCTGCCATGCGAATTAACATTGAAATCATGTTCTTTTCGTCATCCATATGTTCGACTGTTTGAAGAAGAGTAATTTGTTCAGCAATAAGTGTAATTGCATTGTCAGTCTTGCCATCAGTAATCAATTGAGCAATTCGATCATCCATTTCTGCTGCCATTTGTACTGCATGTAAAGTTTGAATTTTCGGATCGATTTGTTCGGCAAGTGATGCATCATGAACGAAGGTTATTGATAATGTACCAGAAACTATCATTGGTTCTTCATCAATATCATCTGGACGTTGATACTTTAATTGATAATCAAGAACTTCGATTTCAGTACCATCAGACATCGTTCCTGAAACTGTAAAATCACAAAGAATAACACGTAGATTATCGACATGAAGATCGCCAAGATTAGCACCAAAGGCAATATTTTCGTGGCCCCATATTTTTGTGACAATAGCATTATTACGACCTCGAATAGTTAATTGAGTTTGTGTTCCACAAACATCAAAGACACTTTGAAGTGCTTTGGTTATCAAGGAGACAATAACATCGGCCGATTCAAGAAAGAAGAACTGGCCACGTCCAGCTTCTGCAATACCTTTCATTATTCCTTCATCAAAATCTTCTCCAACACCAAATGAATCAATTATAATTCCTTT